TCACAAGCAGAAACGGCTGCGACGTCAGCAACGCGGTGGTGGAGTCATGTTTTGGCCAGAATCCTGGGAAGAGAGCTGGTCTGCCCCTTTAGGGTCCCCGAAGGTGTAAAGATGACCTCTGCAAAGTATGTGGAGTTTCTGACTGACCACTTTCTTCCCTGATACAAAAGGAAGAACTATACTTTCCGTAATAAAATCATCTTCATGCATGACAATGCACCATCTCATGCTGCAAAGAATAGCATCAATGGCTGCTATGGGGATAAAAGGAGAGAAAGTCATGGTGTGGCCTCCATCCTCCCATGACCTCAATCCTATTGAGAACCTATGGAGCATCCTCAAGCAAAAGATCTATGAGGGTGGGAGGCAGTTTACATCCAAACAGCAGCTCTGTGAGGCTATTCTGACAACTTGCAAACAAATTCAAGCAGAAACTGTCCAAAAACTCACAAGTTCAATGGATGCAAGACTTGTGAAGCTGCTATCAAATAAGGGGTCCTATGTTAAAATGTAACGTGACCGGTTAAAATGTTTAAAAAGTTAAAATGTTGTTATAAGTTTGCTTAAAATAGCATTTGATTTCAGTAAATATGCTGCAAACACAACAAATGACAATATTCAGTTCTTTACAACCTATAAAGTGTTTTGAAACTTACTGTGCGTAATAATTTGTAATAACAGTGCATTGTAAATTATTTATGTTTTTAAAAATACTGTTATCATTAGAAGGTTTGTTCAATAAAATTTGAATTGTACTCTTAATAGTTGATAACATGAGAATTATGCTGACTGTTATTTACATCAATTATTTAGGTAAATTAGAAAAATATAATTTGCATAATAATTTGGAACAGGGTGTACATAAATCACTCAAATTGTAGACAATAACAATCTGAATCACATTGCTTTAAAAATACAGCCAACACCCACCACACATATACAGTACATACAGTCAGCGCACACCAGACACAGTACATAGTCAGCACACACACATTACATAGAAGCAACACATGCACTATATACAGTCAGCATGCACAGACATTGCATAGAGACCGCAAACATATTACATAGAGGCAGCAAACACACACATTACTCACAAATAGCAAACACACGCACTGCATACAGGCAGCACACATTACATACAGGCAGTGCACACACACATACATTACATAGAGGAAGTGCGCACACATTACATAGATGCATTACACACATTACATAGAGTCAACAGAAACACATTACTTAGAGGCAGTAAACACACACATTATATAGAGGCAGCACACACGTACACACACTACATACAGGTAGCACACACACTTTACAAACAGGCAGCAGGCATACACATATACATTACATACAGAAAACACACCACACACGTTACAAAAAAATTAGTTTTTTGTTTGCAATTGCTTGATATCCTTAAGAGCAGAATATTTGTGTGTATTTTTTTGAACATCAGATCAAAAGGTTAAACAATGAAGAGAAATTTCCACAGCATTTTTTGCTCATATTCACCAATGGTGCCAATAGTAGTGGAGGGCACTGTAGCTTCCTACCACCATAATTCCTACAATGAACCGCAGAGGTTATGATGCTTGTAGCCACTTGTAGTGCACAGAGAATATTAAGCTGCACACAGCTCCTCGCAGCCTCAAAGGTTTGCTATTGGTGTCTGCTGAATTGGGTTGTTTGTTTCACCTTTGTACTTTGGTTATATCCCATCATTTAAAGATTCATTTTTTTTGTTTTTAAGAAGCATTCATGTATATATCACCATTTTTGGGGCATAGAGCTCCTTTGGCAAATTCTATGGTGACATGACATCTCTCCTCCTCTCCATATAATGTTTGCTATAATTGTGTCTAAATTTGATTTAGGTGTGAGAAGCATTTATTATGTATATATCACCACATATTGGACTGCATTCACTGTTTCTGCCCAACCTGCGGAATTAACATGCTTGCCGAAATACAGTCAACAAGCTACCAATATTAGTTTTTGGATGAATGAAAGGTCAATTTGTTTTATGTATTAAATTGCTATTTACTGTGGCGAAGGTGGGGCTGAAGCTTTGTGAAGAAGTACATAGACAAGAAGCTGGAAAATGTTTCTTGAAAAATGTTAATTGTGTATACCCTTGTCTGTGCAGTTGCCTACTATTACTTTCTATGGACTGTATGACAAAATGGGCATTACAAGAGAGCCTTGACTGTATAAATGGTTGACATCTCAGTGATACTGTTGTGTAACTACTAATACTACATTATTATGTAGTAATACTGTAATGTAGTGTTATAACCCGAGAGAAAGGCTGCGCTGTATCAAAATTATCTAGAAACAAATTTGGTGCACACTGAATGTTTTTTTCCTGATCCAAAATTATAGAGAAACATTGACACACTGAATGTATGTGTGTCAATGTGTATGTCAGAATGACAGTGTGTGGGTCAGTGATTAGTGAGGACAAGTTTTATTAAACAAATTCAGCAATGAATTCTTTAATTTTTGTGTGGGTCACAAGGTATGTGTGTCAGCAATTGTGTGTTGCATTATCAAGAAACATTGACACACTGAATGTATGTGTGTCAATGTGTATGTCAGAATGACTGTGTGGGTCAGTGATTGTGTGTTTCATTGTGTGTCAAAGAATGCAACACACACAAACATTCAGTGTGCACCAAATTTTGGATCAGGAAAAAATTTAGCACAAGAGAAAATTTCTACCCACACATCTAAGAATAATTAGAGGGAACATTGCTTGTAGCTTCCATTTTTACTCATGGCAATTCCTTTCGGATTCCTCATTGGTTTAACTGATTTCCCTCCAGCAGCATTTGAATGCTACATACTCTGCAAGGTTGCACTTTTTGCATGCAGTTTACCAGCACAGATGAATTAAACGGACACTATAGTCACCAGAACAACTACAGCTTATTGAATTTGTTCTGGTGAGTAGAATCATTACCTTCAGGCTTTTTGCTGTAAGCACTGTCTTTCCAGAGAAAATGCAGTGTTTACATTACAGCCTAGTGATAACTTCACTGGCCACTCCTCAGATAGCTGTTAGCGATCCTTCCTGGGTCATGGCTGCCTAAAATGCATCCAAACATATCCGTATCTCCTTCCTCTGCATGCAGACACTGAACTTTCCTCATAGAGATTAATTGGTTCAATTCATCTCTATGAGGAGATGCTGATTGGCCAGGGCTGTGTTTGAATTGTGCTGGCTCTGCCCCTGATCTCCCTCCTTGTCAGTCTCAGCCAATCCTATGGGGTAGCATTGTGATTAGATCAGGCCACCACTTCTGACGATGTCAGCAGACAGCTTGTTTTTCTGAAGCAAACAGCATGCAGAGCTATAGCTTCAGGCTTGAATACAGTAAGATTTTGCTACATTTATGGAGGCATGAGGGGTCCAGGGGGCTAGATGGTGGTTTTAACACTATAGGGTCAGGAATACATGTTTGTGTTCCTGACCCTATAGTGATCCTTTAAAGTATTTTAGTTCCTCATATGCAGGGCCATCTTTAATATTAAAATGCACCCTGTCCCTCATCTCCCGCTCACAATCACAACCTACACCCCATCGCTGTGATGGCACTAAAGTAGAGAGGGTCCTGGTGCAATAATCTTTTGTGCCTCTTATTGCAACAGTGGCCAAAAGGTAGATCCCCATCTGTCGTGCAGCTCCAACAATGCTTTGACAGCTGGGGCTCTACATTTTCCCATTCTTGTAGGGTTGTATTTAGCACTGAGCAGTGTATGCGTGTTTGAATGTAAGCATGTTTTTGTATGGAGTATATTTGTGTGAATGTATGAGTATGTTTGTATGTGGTGTTGGTGTTTAATGTATTCATGAGTAGTGTTG